CATGCGTGAATGTCAAAGCCGACGGCGTCACTCCGTTCGGATCGAAGATGCCTGTAGCTATATCTAGCTTAGAGTGTAGCATGGGAGTAAGTTAAATGGCTCGAATTGTCACTGTTAATTGTGGAGTTCACTTTTGTTTGTTTTCATGGTGTTTCAAATAACTTTCGTGGTTCCTTCTTTGCAAAATGCAATTTCGGGGATGTGACTTTGGAATCGCAACCAACATTTGCTTAATTTGGGTCACTTGCGCTGATGTCTCGATAAAGGACATTGGACACTGTCGATGCTTTTTGCTACCGTTTTCCGTTCAGAACAGTTTGGTCCTGTACGGTCCGCATCTTGCATTGTGACCAGCTGAAGACATCCCAGCCTCTCTGACGCTAAACCAGCTTTATTATAATTCACAGCTTAAGTTTAGCGAGACATGCTAATTGCCAGCATCATCTACCAATCCCTGAATGCTAATTTTTGCCGCGCGCTACCAATCCAGTTTGGCGCCGGATCGCCTTACAAAAGGACTTCCAAGTGAGTTCGCAGCCATTGAACTACGTTATAATGGGACGTAAATACCTACTGCCAATCGATCCTAGTGAAAATTGTCGTCGAGCTGTGAAGTTCTACAACGAAAATTTGCGTCGAGAGGATGACTCACTGGTCTTTCTTCATGTTGTTGAGCCTAACTTCAAGAGCCCCACTGTCAATATCTCCACGGACACCGACCCCTCAGTACGGGACATGTCCACTCAGATGGAGTCGGCTGTGGCCGCGGGAAAGATGTTGGGCCACAAGTACCTCAGCTGGGGCAGGGAGGAAGGTATTACATGCAAGGCTCTCGTCCATGTGGACTCAAAACCCGGTGTGGCCATCCTGAAGGTTGCCAAGGAGAATAAGGTGGATCACATTATTGTTGCAAGCCGTGGACTAAACGCTCTTGGTCGGACCCTCTTGGGCAGCGTCAGCAGCTACGTGGTGCACCACGCCACCGTGCCCGTGACGGTGGTGCCCTGCCCTGAGGACGAAAAACCCAGTGGAACGGTTCGACGATTCTCCCTCTACTAGCTTCCAGCATGCACTCGCGCAATGTTGCTGCCCCCTGCCCCTTTAGATCTGCGACACAACGGAAATTGCAACTCGTTTTAAATTCGTGCATTATATTGGTGAATTTTGATTTTGCCTACTTTTCCCAATTTAACTATCCCTCATTTAGTAAAATAATTTAATTATTCATCCAGTACCAATTAAAAGAGCGATTTATAAATTGTAAATTCACTTCATCATGTATTCAAATTGATTGGAATACATTTGCTTTGAATTGTTTTAAAAGTGGGAGCCAGAAATCACGTGATCTTCTGGTTGTCGTGCGAACTTCGATATCTAGAATCAGAGCCATGCCAAAACATTTAACGCGTTTGTAAGAGGCCATTATAAGTCAGTGTCAAGATTAGTTCTATAATCCTAAAAACATGCATTAAAGTGATGGCGAAAAACTGCATGTCAAAATTCTCCAGTCATTGGAAAATCTTTCACTGTAAGAATTCATCGACTCCCATCCACAAAAATTCTTGTAAAATTTTTTTCCAGTAGTTTCAGTTAAAATTACTAACAGGAATCAATGAAGTGAATTTGTTTCATGATGATACTCCATTGAGTCCTGCAACCCCACGTTTCGATGAGTATATTGGCACGAGAAACAATGACGCACGACAGGTTTTAAGTCAATATACATCACGCATTCATTGTACCTTGACAGCGCCTAAGAAAATTACTGAAAGTGCTTTATAAATCCTACGACTAGCTTATTCCATACGAGACTGCTAGGGCGTGTGCTCACGAAATTTATCATATGAGCCCAATTGCACATGCATGACAAGGGTCCGTTTGAAAGGAAATGCTGCGCTCCGTTTAACGCCTGCCATCGCGTGTCGTGCTCAACGTCTGTTGACGAGCCAAAGTGCCCAAGGTTTGAGTTTACGGGGCACCGTGGCCTTCACCCTGTGTCTGACCAAGGGGGGAAGGCGTTTTGCAGCGAAAGGACGAGCCGCCGCCGGGACCCCGCCGCGCAGGCCGGGCTGCCAAGAGGAGCCGAAGTGCACGCCACATGGGTGCTGGGATTCGCCATAAGTTAGAACGCTACACACTGTCTTGGAGTGGTTAATTCACTACAGTTGTCAAAGAATAGAATGAAAAGCATATGGACCTTAGAATTTCCTTTAATTATTTTCGCAGCTGAGTTTTGACCCTAGGGTTTTACCTCCACGATTTTTTTTGCATAATTTTAAATGCTGACAGCAAACAACGTGTGATGACGAATGCGAAATTCCCACATCCATTTCTTTCACATATTTGTACCTCGTCAAAGTGGCACGCATAAAGAGAAAGCCATGGCTACAATTTACTTGGGCGAATTCTGCGGGGTGGTTTGGGTGACGAAATGCACTTACGCGTAAACACCACCATGGGGTTCACCGATGCCTCTCAAGGCCGTTTCCTAATCGTCAAGCGGTTCGTTTTTAGAATGTGCGCAAAATTTCGTGGCATTTTTCATTGACTAAAACCATGGTTGACACGCACGAATGTGCCCTACGCCCACGTCACTCGTTTTGGGACGTGGGACGTGTGGGCAGAAGGTAGGTGAGAAATAGACTGCCGACAAGACTAGATGTCAGCTTTTCTTGGGGGGATTTAAATGACTGACGTGTTTTTAAATGTCTTGAGCAGAAGTCAATTAGTCTAGACTTTCAAAGCCTGAAACAAGATTTATGCTAAGTATTTTTACATATTTATCTAATTTTTAAACGGCCGTTAGGAAAGCCACTTACATTCACGGTATTGGCTATGTTCACTTGAAGTAAACTCTTTCGAGCTGAATGCAAATGTTTTCAATTCGTCGGACTGTTCACGATGGTCGTGAACAGTCCGACGAATTACCTTCAGATGGCAAAAGTAAATTTGCAAAGGTGGGTAAGTTTTCAAACCAAGCTTTGTGGGAAAGTAGTCTTGATTTCATAAGAATCTGGTATTTAGGAGCCCTCACTAAATTGATAACCGGAAATTAGGATCACATAAATAATGTACACACTTAAATCCTGGATGAATACCCCTGAACCCGTACCGATTAAAAGCAAAAAACGTACAAGAATAAAACCAACTTGGTTTGTCCACGGCGATGCCTGCTGTCAGCTTAAAATTACGCCCACAGCCTTGAAATCTGTGGAAAGCCAGCTGTCACTGTCCCTCGCCCCTTATTCATATTTGTTATTTAGGCTTTCTAATAATTTAACAAGTGCGTAACCCCATTGCTGATTACACTATCGGTTACGAGAGCACTTTCGTGAAGTGTGCCCAAGAATGTTCTCGAATATTCCTTACCAGTCATGAGCCAACTATTCCCGACATTTTTTTTAAATTTCGATTTTGTACCCAAGAACAATAATTGGTTGGAGCTAAATAAACGTTAAGTTTCCACCACGTCGGCTGTCTTCTGAGTCCACGCAGATTGTTGGTTATATTTCGGGTGTGATAATTTCTCACAAAACCATACAGAGAAATTATGATGACTACAATTAATGTACTCCTGTTACTAAGTCTACAACTTTCCTGAAATAAACATGTAATTATAAACACAGGGCTCTGCTTCAGTCGGTGCATTGATTTCAATCCGCATAAGGTCGTCGACTGAAGGCGCATAAGCGTGGTATTGCACCACAACAATTTCGGTTGTCAGAGGTCCTGGGAGTCAACAGTCCTAATCTGGTACCGCAATCTCATCTACAGAGAAGTAAAATTAGTCATTTTAAAGTACCTTTGAAACTAATTTGAAACTCTAGAGGTTAGTTCCGATTCATGAGTTACATTTTTGAGCTGTGCGTCCACTTATCCCAGCTTTTCAACGCCTCATCTTTACTGCAGGCCTACTCCTACCGAAATCTGGCCTCAAATGCGTTAACCGCAACCGAACAAACTCGACCCCAGTGGAAAATCATGTGCGCTGCTTTCGTTTTAATTAATACATAATCTGGTGGAGTCAATTTCGTCCACTTTATTCCGCTTTTCAAAGTCTCAATGTCATATTCCAAATTGTAAGATTAGAATCGCCGCAGGTTAATCCCAACCCCCAGTCAAGACAGGAATTGCGGATTTTGCAGGAACGCGTTTCATGAAACTGAAAGACGTAGACAAAATTCTGGCTGCAGGGTGTATAGGTGAGCTCTGAATTTGCTGGTTATGAAGCGACATCGGTTCAACATTTCTTCCTAACCCTTGAAGCCACTGCACTAATAAAACTTTTAGTTCAGGAATTTTTTAAACAAGCGTCGCACTTCACCATACACAAGAATCGGCATAAAATTTAATCCACCTTAGAAAATTTCTGACTTCGTTGAGACGGAATGCATTATATTTTGTGCATGTGAAATGGCAGTGTTACAAATGGTTGCTCTGAGCGACTTAATATACGATTACCCAAGAGTTTAGCTGACGGCTTACTTACCTCACCCAAGTCCATGTGCAGAACTGTTTATTCAGCTCATGCGCCTCAGTGGCCCTCAGGGTTAACACGACCACTCCAGGCAGGCGAGTGAACGTCACTTTGTCGGGCAGTCCTCGTGCCACCATTTCCCATCTCTGACACGGAGTTTAAACACCATTCAGTGGATAACCATACTGGGGAACAAACCAAACTCAATCACTAAAGCCAATTCGACCCTCAGCTTTTTTGTCATAATTTCATGCTTTGGGTTTGCACAGAGTCTCAAATGGCCAATTCAGTTTTAAACACATAGATTTCGTCGGGTTAATTCTTTGATCAGAGCTTAGCATTATAGATACAGATCTAAACTAGATTTTCAATTTAAAAAAAGGCTTATCTTTCCGCGAAGGTATTTCGAAAACCAAAAGCACACCATTTGCACACTACTGATTTGATAAATTTAGCATAAAAAGCTAGTGGTACTTTATGAATTCACGACTATATCCAGATTTGGTGCAACCGCTGGTGTCAACAAAAAATGTAACAAATTTAAATGAATTGATATTTTGGATCTAAACATGTGTGCATATTGGCTGAAAGCTTTGAAAGGGTCCTGGCTGAATAATTTATGACTGTAAAACTCAACATTGAATGTTACCTTTACATTGCACCAGCGATCAGAGTTGCGATGAGTCACCTCCGTCCAAGCACGTCCTAAACATTATCGACAGACGTCCCCCCAATGCACCGGACACAACGTGGATGGGAGGTGGTCCGGCCGTCCTGGGGTCTGCGTGGGGTCACCTTCGAGTCACAACCCCTCCCCCAACTTCATAAAGAGGCATTTAGGGAATCGTTGTACTAAAACATTTGCGAGAATTAACCAACCACCTCCTAGTTTCAGGTGTTTGAAAAGGCTTGCTGCTTAAGAAAGCCTTCAGACTTTAAAGATGATCAATGAGAGTGCATTAAGGTAGTTATCACATTGGTGGAGGTCGCTGCATACAGTCTTGGGGACACACCTGTACCTTTTAATATTTGAAGTTACGGAAGTTAATTTACCTCACCTCAATTCGGCACATATGCTCCAAATTTTTTCTTTAATTATGGGTTAAATAAATTAGACGAATATTAGCATATTTTATTAAAAATAAGTCTAAAGTCTAACTTGTGATAATATCTCTTAATGTGTGTTTAGCGGTTGTGTTTGCCCCTGCGCTTAAAGTGCATCATGTCCCCAAGACAGCCCCGTCACTGAGGCATCGGTGTGTGGGTTGCAGTAGCGTCAGGATTTTTGCCTTTTCATACCTGCCCATGAAGTCGGGTGAAGTGGACGCAGTTGTGGAAAAACGACGAATCCTTCTATTTCCCGTCCAAGAAGACCCAAATAGCGAACGGGTTTTCCGTTGGTACGTGGAGGCCTTCCGTCGGCCAGTTGACGAACTCATTATTCTCACCATCGTTGAGCCCTGCCTGCAAATTGGCGAAATTCACGAAGACGAACTGGTCGGTGCCAGCGATCCCCTGCTGGAAGTCGCCATGATGGCCGGCCGACGCGTTGTCCGCCGCTTCATGAGGTGGGCGCGGGAGTTGAATTTGTCCTGCCGAGGCCTCGTTCAACTCGACACCAGTCCGGGCCCGAGCATAGTTAGAACGGCCAAGGAAAGAGGAGTCGACGCAATCCTAATGGGTTCTCGTGGATGTTCGCAGAGGTCTGAAAAACAAAACGTTGGCAACGTGGCGGAGTACGTCTTGAGGAATTGTCCGAATATCTCTATTGCAATCGTACCTGGAGCCGGAATTGGTCGGAGGCAGCGCAGTGACAGTTTGTACAAGCAATTTATGGAAAATTTGTTTTAGTCAATTTTGAATTACTTGCATGACTTTATGGGCTCAAGTGTACACATTTCTACACAATGGACCGAAAGTAAGACAAAAATGAAAAAAATCCGCTTTCACTTTAAACCCTCGAGTCATACATCCGTGCCTCCTTACTGTTCATGCGTTTACAACTTTTTCGTAGTACTGTTTCTGTTGAAAATGTGCTGTTGCCGGCGAAAATTACATGCGCCCAGTGTGAATAAATGCACAGATATGTGGCTCCCTTTTCCATTTATTTAAACCCAGCCCCACTAAGGTCTTAATTCTAGAAGCATCATTAAACGCACGCATTCTTTCTAAAAATATTTCGGGTCATTTCTTCTGCGTTTGGAAAATAACGGATTTGGAAGCTGAATTGCAAGATTGACATAAGTGGCTAAATTTCTTAAATAAATGGTTTTTTTAAAGTATTTTAAAATCGCGCGTTTTACATCAGATGAAAGAGGAGATAATTTACTGGAGTTTGTTCGCCTGGCTTATCCGCCTGTGATAAATGCAGGCCAATATTTGTAGATCGGAGTATGGAACCGCACTGGTTAGTAATTATACAAACCACGCAATTTACTTATGCCTCTGTAATTATTGTAAAATTCTGTCCAGAAATCCCTGGATTGAGTCCCAAGACGTATAGCAATGTTGTCTGCGATAATTTGACAGTGTAGAAATTAACTAGCCACGGCTGCATTAACACTTTGTGCTGGCTAGGACGATGATGTCGACTCACCTGAGCGGTTAATTCGTTTGGTGACCTTAAGGTTGATTTCTTATTACACAGACTAGCGCTTTTCATTGCGTAGCGGCGTAGATAAATTTATTTACGGCAAACAAAAGTCGGCTTGGCGGGATAAATTAGGCAGTATTCTGGAATTTATGGGGAACTTTTTTCTAAATTACAGCCTTTTAAGGAAATGCAACGAGCTCCGCAATGGCCTTTTAACTTCGATTATTTTCTGTTTAAACTACTCTGACGATTTAAATATATTTAGTAGTTGTGGGTACCCTATGTATGCTAGAATTTTCGTCCATGGAAGGTTCTAGTATGTCCTGAAATGATTAACTGATTGAAAAGGTTCCCTCGGCATAGTGGAACAATTATCAAGACTCTCTGTATTATTTTTATTTGTTGGAGGCAGCATTACTCTTCCCGTCTTTATTGGACCGTAATCAGAAAATTACTAAACCCTATGCCAGTTTGGTGATGCTACAATCTGCCATACGCAGATATTTGTTGACATTTTTAGGCAAATAACATTGTACTGGCCATTAATTTTCGCAGAGTCAATGTCATGAAAATTAAATTAGTCATCTGGATGTGTTAAAATGACGGGAGCAGGAAGTTCTTGGGTTGTTGAAACTTTTCGCTGCAAGCTAGGCCTGCACAATCGAAACTGACAACGTGCAGGTAATTTAATTTTTTGGGAAGGAGATAACAGAGGAACATTGCCTTCTAACCATATTATTTCGTGCACATCAAGCTTGGCGTCTAGAATGTTTAGGAATGAGCGTTCATGTAGTGGCTCTAGGGGAATTCTGATCCCAGTAGATTGCGAAAAATTGCAAAAATGTTTCCAAGTGATACCAGCCATTGTGGCTGAAATTTAAAGAAGGTAAAAGTCATTCCAATCTTAGAATGTGGTATTTTGCTAGGGGAGGTTAGGGCAGGTACCAAGCGTTTTCATCCTAGTTAGCAAATAAACTCAAAGTCCCGCAGTTTCCTTTCCAAGGATCATGCGGAATACTATAAGCAGGCAAAATGATTTGATTCAATTATTTGATCACTTGAGGACAAGTAGATCACCACTTGTGAAATCAAATGCATTAATAGTAACGAATTTTCAGAATTAAAGGTTTGATGCAACTATTAAAAGGTTGTCAGCTGCAAGATTTTGTTTTCTTGGAAAGACAATATAAAGTGAAGATGGCAAGCATGACGGAATGATGAATAATTTTGTAAGGATCGGAAGCTTTTAGGGGCGGGCATTTAAATTAGTCGTCGAAGCATCAGAGCCTTTGCCTTCAGTACTGCCTTAATTGTGACCGAAATGGGACAGGTTTACGTAGGACGAGGTTCTGTCAAAACGTTGGTCATGTGATGCGGAACTTGACCTGGCGACCACCAACCAATATCACGATGGAAAACCAACTGCCCAATCAGACGACCGCAGTTTCTGTCCATACGCCCCATTACTATTTCATTTATGCACAAGTATGGCAGGCGCTAAAAGTGAGGAAATACAGGTATCAGGAAGGAAGGAGGGTCGCAGAATTCTCTTCCCCATTGATAACAGCGAAAACTGCGTACGGGCCTTCCGCTGGTATCTGCGATACGTCAAAAAGCCCGGGGACTTCATTGTATTCATTCATGTTGTGGAGCCTGCCTACTCGGCTGCTCCGGTTAGAATCTCATCTGAGTTTCCACCTCAGATTCTCGGGGACCTTCCTGGTGCAGTCGAGGAGATCATAAAGAAGGGCAAGGCCCTCGGAACAAAGTACATGGATTTGGCAAATAAGGCAGATCTGGGCTCGAGCGCCTTCCTTCATATGGAAACAAAGCCTGGCCGAGCGATTCTCACCTCGGCTAAGAAGCACTCTGTCGACATGATTGTAATGGGTTCTGGTGGCCAAGGCTTCTTCAGTCGCGTTTTTCTGGGTTCTGTCAGTGACTACGTCGTACACAACTCAACAATTCCTGTTGTTATCGTACATACAGAAAAGGACTGAAGTTAAAGTGTCCTATGGCAAAATAAAAACCACTGTTTCTCACCCAACTTGCATTCTGTTATTAATTTTTCATGAATTTATGCTGACGCCAATCAAGTCTTAATGGCTGAGGGGTGAAGGGTTTCAAAGCGGGTAATTTCGGACTGCTACGAAATACATCCAGGTTGAGGACTCGTTGATGGCATAACGTCCCCACAGACGCGGCAAAACTATCAAAGTGATGCCTGCCCGTCCTCTGCATAATCCTTGAGTGCAGGTCGGACGGCAGAATTCATTTCCTGAGACCGCTATGCATAGACAGGGTCGATGTGCCTAATGTAAATAATTCTAACATCACCACGACTTAAACAGCAAAGTATTCAGTCCAAGCGAGCGCAATTCAAGTACCGAGGTTGTGTTGCCACAATTTTAGCACAGAATGATTTTACGCATTTTACAATTTTACAAACTGCAACATTTCACCTTCACTGTCACTAAACTTGAGGGTATTATTGAAGCACTTATTTAATAGTAGCCCCTACAAAAATGTACTCCAACACAGCCATACTGCGAGGTACCAGTTGGCAATTAAAATATCACCACGGTGTATCAGTACTACAAGAAGCTACCGTGGTTATCAAATGTTTAAAGCTGTGATGAAAGGCTTGTATTGCTTTCTAGAAAAAAATTCAAAAATATTGTGATAGGGAGAAAAATTATTGTTAAATTTATGTAGGTCGCCGGGTTAGCACTAATGCAGACTCAGAGCTAATAAGTTGCAAATTGATCCTCGTTTACTAAGGAACTGTTAATTTGAATTTACCATGCAGCAGAGATAATGTTGAGAGACTTCGAAATCCACAATATTTATTTGGTGGAAAGTACCCAAATAATGTAACGAAGTCGACGTGTGCAGATACGCTTGACAAACTTAATCTGGTTGAAACGGCTATTATGTTCGGTAAGACATCACTTTTGAGTTGCTTGGCGGTACTTCTCTGCAAAATAATTTAAATGGCAAAGCCAGTTGCAGTCGAGTTTGAAGTCAATTTCACGAAGTTTCTGCGAGGACAAATCTAAGGAGTTTGCAAAACCTTGGGAACCTGTGTGAGGAATGATAGAGAACATTTCTTTGTGTAAGAAATGCCGTTTTTCATGAACATGTTTCGCATTAAACTGGTTTGAATTCGTGCAGAAACTTTTGCAATCACTCAATATTTCCATATCAAAGCGCTTTCGTGAGCGTACCAAAATACATGTGGCCAGCATTGCACTTCATTTCTGACTATTTGTTTGGCACACGGGCCCATGGTAGCGAGTGGCTGCTGGAACTATACAACACCATTTTTTCTAGCACAAGCCTAATTCCGCCATGGCTCAGCGTCTGTCAGTGAAGTTTTTTTCCTCCACCCCATTTCAGACACTGTCGCTGAGTGCCAAAATGGCTGGGAACAGATTCTGCAATGCTGCGTGCACTTTCCGTGACATTCAAGTACAATAAGAGTGGTTCAGAAAAACCGATAGTACACCTCGTGCACTGTCCTTGCAGTAGCAGTACCTGTGCCTTCCTAAACAAAGTTATCTTTGTTCCGTTGCTTTCATCCAATGTGGGCAGCCCTCACTGTCTGTGTCGCCTCGTGGGTTCGCCAGCAAAAGGGGGGAGGACTGCGGACGGCTGAGGCGGCTCGTCACTGCACGCAGTAGTCGATCTCATAAAACAATTTAGATTTATCTATTCTCACATTCCGGTGTTTTGTGGAATAAGCAAACAGAGGATTTTTGCGCACAACTTTTTGGTTCATTAGGGACGGACCTGGAAGTGTTAGGAAAAGGGGAAAATAAAAATTTGCACATTTTATTCTTGAGCAGACTTCCAAATGCAAGAATGCTACCACCACAAAGGCTTAAAAGAGCGCAGCGTTAGCATTGGCAAACGCAAATATGCGAAATGACAGAAAATCAAAAGTTAACTCTGCAAGACGCAGATAAAACAGGCATGGCAGTTAGTACTGAGTTGGTAAGGTAACGAGGTGAGATGGCGTCCATTTGGCATGGGTGTTAGTCACAGCCTTCAGCAAACCTCCCTTTGTCGAGTCGCTATTCTCTTTTCTAAAATTAAAGAAATTTCTGTAATACACTGGCTTAAGACAGCAGGAGTCAAAGTTAATTTTACTTCTCTTTACATTAGTCCCAGATTACGCGGTTTGTTTTGTTCATGATTACTTCGTTGTCGGGTTCAGAAAGGGTTTCGTGATTATGTAAAATTAATTTTTTTAATCCCTTACTTATTTCAGCATAAGGTCACCACTAAGACCACAACGTCATACTTTGTCAATTTTTACACTTTTGCTAGCAGAACTATCACAACAGCTGCATTAAACGATTTTCTTTTCGTGATACTCCGATTTGAGTGCAACAAATAGGGGTTCTGCAACATCTTTCGATGAAAAGCAATGGTCTGAGTGAATTACGAAATAACAGTAGTCAATATGTGATGGAATTTAGAAATGCCAATAATAATATTGTCCATGCCTGGGATGCAATCTCAAAAATGCAAGTTCTCCTTAAATATTTGACTCACTTTGTCTTCGATTGCTTTGGATCTCTGGGCTTCTTTAAGCAGCTTAACAGAAGTCACTGTGCATTGTATTTCTAATCTGTGGTATCCTCGTTAAAATGAGATGCAGCCGCAGCAAAGAAGCTTTTCATGAAGGCTCTTCCTGGTACACCTTTACAACATTTTTTTCAATTTAATTGAGTAAAACTCGGAACACAAATGGGCAGAAATAAAACAGAAGAAGGTGAACCTCAGAAAAATACCGTGTTGGTTGCTCGATGGTTTAGAAATTGGAGGAGTTTATGAGGAGCGAAGACGTCTGGCCTGTTTTGTCTTACTAAATGAACTTGAGTTAGCAAAAAAGGCCTAAAAATATAGCCTTTCCAGAAAGGCAAAATGGAAATTGGCTTTGCCTTCTCTGCTTTTTAAACAATCTATGTAGATCTGAAGTTATGAACGAAATTGAAATGAAATTCGTTGCACAAATTAGACTTATCTTTTTTTAATTATGCAAGTGTGCCTGTGTCAATATTTAACAAGATCTTCCATACTCTTACTTCAATTTAAAAAAAAACCGATGGTTTTTCACTCCTAAATTGAAATTTGAATTCAAACCATGACGTTCACGCAATTTTAAGCGCACTTTGAAGATGAATATGAACTTTTGACCTACGTGCCCGTATCTGATGCCAAGGTTTTCATTTATAGTCCTGACCAGCTGTGGGGCCTTAAACCATTTTGGACCGGCTTCGACGTCTGATTTAGGGCAGAGTTGAACTTTACCAAAACATCCAATCCATGATTCAAACCTTATTGCGAACCCCTGCTTTTTATTTCGTCCAACACTGAAAAACGACTTACGCAAATGTCTACTTTTAAGTCCATTAAGCAAACGGAAAATTTCACTTTAACGTCAGGACGTTAGGCAAATGAGCAAAGGAAGCGGTGGCTGAGAGCCTGGACAAACTCTGCTCAGCAATGACGAAGCAGTTCCTGCCATCAATAACGGAAACTTATCGACAATAATTAATGTAGGAAGTTAACAAACTTAATTTTAACGTTATTAGCTCATGAGCTTCATCTAACTCCACAACAACCATGATTTCGGCCAACAGGTTAGTTGATTTAATTTCCTGCGTTCGACTCTGCACAGTATACGTCGGTCGATGCAAAACAAAAAGGGCTGTGGCAACAATATCGTCGTCATTTAGCATTTTACAGCATGTTATGAGAGGCATCCAGTGAAAGAGAATTCCTAGTGTTCCGTTTTATCTGCGTGAAAAGGAATTTGGTGTACAATGCTATCAGAACTGTTAGTGGCGTCGTGTTGATCCTCTCGCGCCCTCCCAACAGCCGACGTGCCTGTTTCGCCCCTGCCCCCGCCTGGGCGTCCCCACTACCTCCTCCCCCCCCCCGGGCCACGCAAAAATCCGATTGTACGGGAGCGTCCCGGGCGTGCGTTGTCGGTGGCTTCAAGCCTACAGAACCAGCTAACGGTCTACTTAACCTTATCGAGGCGCTACCCAGCCTGGCTGCCCCGGTGTGGGTGTTGCATAAACAGCTCTGCCCACAACAGCGGTACGCTCCCCCACCAACCTTTACCATTCCTAATTTTTCTTTAAAATCCAAATCACTTAATTTTTGCAAGACAACCCTACCGGAACATTCAAAGGTGAACCTGACAATTTAGACTGAGATCGTAAGATCTCGACGAATAAAGTGCTGAACTAAGGTAACACCAACCTTCAACTCACCTTAAGTAAACAAAAATATCACCCAACAAAATCGGCTGAGGTCATTCTGTGTTGAAAACGTCAAGTACTCAAATTCTTGGATAAAATGGATTGAAAATGTTGCTTTTAAGTCATTGAATTCGGAGGAGACAAAAACTAAAAAATCGAAAATATGGTTGGACCTCTGTGTTTGTAAATAGTAAACTTTAAAACAGGTTGGTTTTCTTGTAGATATTTTTAAAGGTAAATTTGAAATCCATCAGAGACTTGCGCCAAACTTTCGACAAATGCACTTTCTACCTCTAACTTGGAATGCTGTATCCTACTATTGGTTAATCCGAGCATCCTTAAAAATTGCTTCCGTTGGCTAAAAGCATTCCCCTATTACACGTGGCTCGTAGCGATTTCGGAATAAATTTATTTCAACCCAATAAATCGTCCTTGCTTGTAAATTCACTTAGTCTTCTGGTGGCAAAACCATGTTTCGGCACTGACAAGCGGGTTCAATGAAATAACACTATGTTAATCTTTCCTTTTTTAATGATGCATTGCACGTTCGTACTGTAAACTTGAAGGTTATAAATAGCGACTTCAGTTTTCGCTTACAAATCCCGCTTATCATTTAGGAGATACAGGTCATTTCCTCACAGACTAAAATGTAAAGATTAACACTTCGTAAAAATTGGTAAGTGCTGATCGCTGTGGCACTAGTGGGCCACAAGATGCACAGACAACTTATGCCATGTTTTCCGCACAAAGCGTAAACATCGAATTACTTCGAGGTGTGGGACGGATGGAGGATTCTAAACTGCCCGGCGCTAAACAGGGAGGACGAACACAGCCGAGTGGCAGGCATCGGATCTTCCCTCCCCGGTATCATAACCGTGCCAATCACCTTGAATCTGAATTTTACCTTCATCTGAACTGTTGTTTTCCTAAAGTGCAATTAAACAGCTTTTTAAATGAACACGAAATCATTGAAAGATTGTAAAATCCTTACGTCGATTCTGTTGCAATTATTTTTGGACGAACTTTTTCTCTTGGCTAGGAAGTATTCGATCAGGGCTTTAAGGTCTTTCGATATTAAGTCGGCTTCACGATCAGCTGGAACCTGCAAACACAAAGTACTTATGAGAAGTTATAATCAAATGTGCATCTCAGGTTAAAGCTCAGTCATTTTTATTAGTAATACTTTCAGATCATCGAAAACAAAGACTTTGAACTTAGAAGGTTTGCACTTAAAAAACGAATTTTCATGCTCTCTAGTGCTTCCTTTTGATTTTGACAGATCAACTTCCATTGCAAAACGTAATAAAACACACCAGACATGTAAAGAAGAATTGTGGACTTCAATTTTTTGGGCAAGCGATAGCTAACCAAAGTAATTAACTTTTCCTAGCTGTCTCATTTCTGATGCGTTTTATAACTTGGAAGGAATTGATTATACGAGTTTTCTGGCACATAATAATGCTCCACCATTAGTTGGCAAAAAGATCATGTCCTGAGTAATGTTCAACTAAACTAACTAACTCACAATCACTAGTTTTCCAAGTTCATCAAAGTAACGTGCCACTGATAGTGTCACTTGTTTGAAGAAATTAATCCTTTGATAAACGATGTGAGCTTCATCCTCAATTCGTTTGAGCCGCGTGCACCGCCTGCTAAGGCGGGATTTCATTATCTCCTCCTTGCAATCAAGCAACACAATCATGTCGGCACCTCCAATCTGAATGTACAAACGAAATCAGCGTCATCACTATCGACAGCTTGCGTCCCAATTAAGTAGTATAAATGTGGCATGGAAGACAAAAGTTGCCCACCTTTCACCTGTGTGGGCTTGCCAGATGCTGGTCAGCACACACTCAAACCTCCATGCTATTTCACTTCATCTAAAATTTCTCCTTCTCTCTGTGAATTAATTAGAAATGATGGTTTTAATCTAATAACGTACGGAGGCCGATTGGCTTTTTAATACACGTGAAGTTAATTAATGATGTAAACACAAATGTTTGTTCGCCAAAAGTGACCTCAGTCATAACCAAATTCCATGATTAAAATATCACTGCAGCACAAGCATGGCTGAGCAATTAACGGAAGACCCATAAACTGTTAGGGCCCACAATAACTTCACATTCGAAACAACATCCTCCGCTTGTTCAAAAACATCCAATCAGACTATGGGTAAATGTTAGAAAACAGCGACATCGCCACGAGTGATGTCTTCCGGCAAGGCTTTCAACCCACTACCAGACTCCCAACAAGATTTAGTGACGGTTTGTACGAGCACCGTCACAATTGCACTTCTGGCCGTGTTAAAACCATTCCCATCCACCAACGTTGTGTGCTCCCCGAACTACTAAACGAGGGAGGTGAGTCGACCCGAATACATCCAAACACGAGGGAACAGCCCCCGTTTCGGAGGGCGAAAGGCGGAAGAGAAGCGCGTACCGTCTGATTGAAAGTAGAAATCTGCTTTTCGTCATTCATGTAGCCCTCGATGATAACTATTGTGGCGCATTTTGCCGACTTAACGAATTCCTCGCGTAGAATGTCGAGTTGTACGTCCTACAATATTAATCTGTATAATTTGAAGTGCCGGCGAAATTGCTTCGGGTAAATACATACCTAGTACGGAAACTCACCCAGTATTCGGGAATCAGGCGATCCTAGAAATTATAAAAAGACATTTTATTATGAATACGTATTAAAGAAAGTTTGCTTAAAGCTAAAAGACTCAGTGAGGCCATAGAAACTAAAACTAATTACTTATATGGAGATCAATTCATTCAATAGTTATACTAGTCCAAATGCCTGAGTACTGTTTGCAAATTTTAAATGCCTATAGTCAGTGCTTCTCTTACTTTCTGACACAAATTAGCCATAAGTGCAACGTACGTAATAAAGAGGAGGCTGACTGCTGTGCACTCGCTTGGCAACGACATCCCAGTCCTTTTCCCCGCCGTTTGCAAGAGAGCTGAGCACCTTCGTTCGGAGTAGATCAGTGAGGTTGTAGTGCTTGGCTCCTTTGACGGACTTACACAGGGCCAGTGACTGCTTTGTACGACCAGATCCAGGGCCGCCTGCAGCAAAAAAATTAAGCCAATTTCCTTCCCATTGCCAAAACACCATTATGTGGGCTCAGGAAACAGTTCGACATAAAGAAAATCTCCAATTCCATGTCCAATACCAACATATCAGACTAAACCCAAACCGTGACGTATATTAAGTGAAGTAGACATAACAGGAAATTGCACAACAGTCTTTGACACCAATGCTTTGAACGAATTTTCATCGATGCATTACCAAATATAGTCAGAAAATATTCCAACTAAATGATGCGTAAGTGATTTCTTGACTTTAACAATGATTTTTAATCCGGTAAATTGTATGCATGAGTGGGAAATCAAGGTTTATCAAAACCGGATAACGAATGCGTTTCAAACCAGATGTAAAACAAGTTCATTACAAGATCTAAAAGTCGATTTCAAGGAAGTGCCATGGAACAAATGGTGCACTTAAGCCTTGTGTTAAAAAATAACGCAATCTGCAAAGCTGCGCTTTTCAAGAAAATCTTCCATTAAAGGAGATTCTACATTATTTGTATTACACAATTCATCAAACGTGGGTAATAATTAGTGCAGTATACAAGTTTAGCCATGTGAGGCATCATTAAGCATCGTCAGCCAACCAAATTTACGTTCTGCCCCCTGCCGTTATACAAGCCAGCCCGAATCAATATACTTTGACCAGTTAGTTCGTTGCCCTGAATATCGCCTTTCCGATAAAAAATTTATTCCTGAAAACTCAAAAGTGTCCTATTTTCAAATCGATTTCATCCAGTGTTCCAAATTCACATCTGAGGGACAATTTATTGTGCCCAATGCTGACACTAAGAATTAAAGATGAATAATGTTTCTGCACGTCTCTACTAAAGCCAAGTGTTTATCTTGATAACTTTATAACAAAAATAATAATACTTTTCAATATTAGGACTTCATACTTATCTGCTAACTTATCTTATCAAGTCACAAATTTACTTTGATTGCATCACTCTTTTACTTTTAAAATTAGATAAACTTTGACTTTTTTAAGCCATAAATGTATCTATGCCTAATTGGTGAAGTTATTTCAAGGTAAGGAGCCAATAATTATAAGTTTAGAGCCGGTACATCAAGTAAAGGACCTTGCTCAACGGAAGCCTAACCTAGTCTGCACACTGTTTTCACTCCATTCTTTTAACAGATGGTTGTATCCATAAACTTATTACAAACCATTAGTTTGATCAACAAGAGTACCTAACAAAACTAGAACCGGACAAGTGGGCAGTCCAGGCCGTCGCCCGGTGTCTTTGTAGTCAGGTTGGATGGTCGGAATGTGAAGAGCCAGTGAATTTCCAGGGCAACCAACAAATCTCGGCACGGACTTTTGCGTTGGTACGTCTGCATCACACGTGGATTCTGCCTGAACAGGTGGCCCTTTTAGAAAGACACGATGGTTATGGATAAAAAAAACTGAAAAATATAACTTGGTGAAATTCATATTTTAAATAAACCACCTGTCTCCTTTTTAGAAAGGATGATTTCAAATACCGACAGCATTTCTCGCTCTATCAGGTCACATTTCGGTTCACCGTCAACCTGTGAGTAAAATTGCAAACTGCATTACAACTTTGGTCTAGAATGGCTTTTTGTAAGAGAATAAGTCGTTCCAGGTAAAGTCAGCGCACTGATCCTTAATGAGAGCTTTTGTTTCAAGGTTAGAACATTTAAAGGAACAACTTCAGCCGGTTTTGCTTGCCGCAAAGACTTTAGGTGACATCAATCCAAAAAAAAGTATATGCAAGTAGCAACTGATCCTTTCTGTATAATAGCTGACGTTTTCGTTAAATCAGTGTCTTGCTACAGAACACCGAAGCGAAAATGTACAGTTTTCCAAGCACTTATTTAATTTAGGTCTAACAGTACAAATAATGTATGCAGCTCAATTGCATAGACTTAAACAATTAAACATTACCTGGCTCTTATGATCGTGTTCACGGTTGAACCTATTTTCAATTTATCGGGGGCACGGGTGACCTTGTTGCCTTATTTTATTAATATCAAAAACTTGCGAAATGCTGATTCGCTTTTACCATTCACTGAACATGATTCGAAGTGTGCGTCTATAACTTATTATTTGCTTTCTACCGAGCGATTCTCCTGTTTGAATTTACTAGAAATCACTCCAAAATGGTAAATCCTCGTGAAAGCCTACGGAAGATGGCCCACTCTTGATAAAATAAACTATGACTCACAATGTACAGCTTCTTTTCATCATCGATGACTTTGCACATTGCAAGCGTCACTTTTTTATACATGCACATTTTTCTTTGAACTACATCAAATGATAAGTGTTCGTCACATTGTCTTTTTCTCTGGTTTGCAATGTGGATTCGGCGCAAACATTTTTCCTCGGGAGCATCGATAAGGACAACACCAGATAGCCTATCCCCGCCAATCTAAAAGCAAACTTTGAGTACGTATAACCTCTAAACACTCTTAAAAGTTGGTAAAGGTCTGATGAAAACATCTCGATTTTGCCAAATACCTGTTAAATATGGCCAGTTTCTCCATTTTATGCACACTGACTAATATCTGAACACTGAACCAAGAACCACTATCGCAAAATTGAGGCAGTGGCTAAAATAGCGTTGACTATTATTGTTCTAGTTTCAGTTATAGATTATTTTTATACAAAATAATTGTATTTAAAATAGTTAATAGAACTCAAAGATTGAATTTACGTGTATTTTGAGATCATCGTACTGTTTAAATGTTCGTGGGTATCCATCAATTATAAACCCGGTGCTTGTTGGGTATTGGTTGAGATTCCATATAAGCAATTCCAAAACCATATCTTCTGGAGCAAAGTCTCCGGAATTAATATATTCAATTGCATCCTTCCAACGGCTATTTGGTTTTCTTTCTTCTATCTTTGCACAGTTTTTGGCTAAATCTCCCATGCAAATATGCACAAAGTTAGGATAACGACGCATCATCCTCTCCGAAAAACCAAAACCATCGATTCCTGGTGGTGAAAGAACACAAATGATGGAAGTTTGTGGACGTATTCTTAATCTCAAACAGTCAGTCCCGACCAGTGGCTGGTATTTAGAGAATGGTTCGGTATTCCGTTTCAGACCAAGTGGTGGTAGGACGCATCTTTTATCCTCTACAAAAAGATCCCATCTAACTGATCGAAAGCCTATTCGTTTAATTTGCTCCAGGCATTCCTGTATATATTGAACTGGATCTGCCGGACGATGGAACATGAGGCCAGTTATCAAGCACTTGGAAGAAAAGTAGTTTTTAAATGTTTTAATACCTCAAACAGCTGTGGAATTTCATGGCTTGCAAGATATTCGTTAGTTTCTTTTGGTGGAATTACAGGTTTTCTCGATGCCATGTAGTAAAGAATAAATATTAAAAAACTCGCACGCTATGACGGCCTTCAAATCACAGCTATAGCAACCAAGGTGAATAAAACAAATTAGTCCTATTAGTAAAAGTCACAAGAAAAAAAATCAGCAAATTTGGACCATTTATTTTTTAAATGTATATTTTTGTTTGACATCAGACATAGGTACAAGAGCCGTAGTGGCTGCAGTGACTCCAATTACTAAATTTACAAAATACACAAAATAATCAATTCCCTAAAATAGATTTTGCAAGAATATGTGGTGAAATTTACTAAACATATGCCACATCGCGAACTATATAGGTAAATAAAAATTTTATAGACAGCCTCTAATTTAACTACCCTATCATTGCTATATTTTCAAAAGAATATCAAATTTATTAGATTAATTGGGTGCTTCCATTGTTAAATATCATAATTTTTGCAATTTATTTCTCAAATACTTTCACAAGAAATTCTGCCTGTCTCACTTCACATTCCTCATGGTAACTGCAAAATCACACTTCAAAATATAAATGAGGTAGAAACAACTGCAAATTTCTATGCCAATGCAATTTGAAAACCGATGCAGTCGCATATTCTACTATCAAAAATTAAGTAGCAAACGAGAAATATGCATTCAGTCAGGTCAGCACAAAACATTTGATTATTTTAAGGTCTTGGTCCCATGAATGGCTGCTTTAAAAAATAACAAATTTGAAGTGATGCTATAGGAAATGTAAAAATATAAAAACAGCCATCCTAAAACATCCCAGACAAGTTTAAGAAATGCTTATATAAAAAACCACCCAGGTGTTACCTGAAAATAATTACTTAATATAAGCATCCACCGTTATGTGTAACACTACAGATGTATTAGTCAATTGACAATGTCTTCAGAATATCTGCCTCAAGTACAATATGGACGAAATCCGTCCGGACAATTTCAGGCCAACCACCGGAGCCGCCCCGTTGCTC